TCAGTCGTTGTTTGCACACTCTGCTGCATGTTCTCTCTAAAAATCAGTTGGTGTGCACACCGCTGCGCAAATCCCTATATACCCCATTTTGCCTATTTCCTAAAAATACGAGTTCGCGGACGCAAAGGACGCTCAACGTCGGAGTAAGGGTTTGACAAGAGTGCGTATCCTACAATTGGACGAAATTTAAGAAGCCGTGAAAAAAAGATTATCAAAGCGAACTTTTCCAAATGTTGATTGGTTAACGTGTTTATCATTAGGCAAATCATTCCGAGAAATATATAATATTTATATTTTACATGCATATACTATACAAATGTTTTATTTCAAATGTTGATTGGTTAACGTGTTTATCATTAGGCAAATCATTCCGAGAAATATATAATATTTATATTTTACATGAATGCACATATACTATACATTCCAGTTAAAAAATTAGATATTATTAAAATAAAGTAAATATTTTGGATAAAAAATAATCTTTAAAAATGAATAAAATTAAAAAAGACCCTTAGATTTCGCAACTGTTCCTCAGGATGGAAAATTTCATCTTTTGTGAATGAATACAAAAATTTTTTGCTTATTTTACTTGAAAAAATGTACGTATGGAATAGCTCTAACGCTTGCACAAATTTACTTGGTATACTCACCGAATTATCGGTTACAGCTCAAATATATTACTATTACTAACTATTGAAGCTAACATAGCCATGCGTACGTTTTATACCAGATGATAGATATTGGTCTAATCTTCAATTTAAAAAAATAAAGTTGCGCGTGGTTGAATTGACCTTTCCCCGTAAAGCGATGGATTATGGTATTTGTATGTACGCGGTAGTAAACAACAAAAATATATCGAGTAAAATGTCAAATATTAAAAGAACTGAGATTGTCCCAATAGGATAATTTTGTGTATTTTATTTCACAAAAAACTTTGGTGTATTTTATTTCACACCTTTTAAATATTTTATTTCAAATTTTAAAAACTATATTATTGGAGTAAAATTTGCACTACATAAGACTTCGAAGGAACGATAACAACAAGTGCACCAAACAATGTTTTTCAACTAAAAAAACAAACAAAAAAAAGAGGTGTTGTGTACCTAAATACTTTAGTAAAACATAAAAAATTATTGTTTTATGCAATTCCCGACAAAGAAAATATTGAAGAATAAAAAAAAAATTTAATTTCTTATTGTAATTTTTACATCCTTTCAAATATTTTTTAATCATAAACTAAAAATAAAATGTATTTAAACAAGGTAAAATCTTATTAAACCAGTTTTCATTTTCAAATTTAATTGATTGCACAAAAAAAGTCTTCAATTTTGTATAGATCAAAGTCTTTTCTGTAACAGCTTTGATACCTTGACATTTGATACATTGACATAAAATTAACTGCTTGATTTTTAATTTTTGTTGTCTATTATGTCTATATTCCATAAAAAAAGTTTTATTGCCCTATTCCATAAAAAAAAGTTTTATAGCTGTATGTACACAAAGATTTTTTTTTAAAAAAGAGCACTTTACTTCAATTATTTTGCAGCTGTCTTAGTTAATACACAACCCATCAGGGCTAGAACCAGCCATGGCATTAGGATTTATAACAAGATCACATTTATTAGCATCACAATTAGTTTTTACTTTAAACTTTTCATGAGAAATATCTTTATTTTCAATACTCCACTAACAAGCTTATGATTGTAAACTACCATCACAGTTTCTTATAAGCTTTTCTAACAATGATGTTGGAGGAGTATTATTTCTACGGTTTATAACTGTACCAAAACTTGATGCAGTAAGTTTTTTATTTTGTTCTTCAATACATTTTTGTTTTTGCATTGATCTTTAGTTTCTGATTTAATTTGAATTATTTTCTTAAAATTGATTAACACTATGACAAGCTTTAATTTTCCTCAGTCAAATTAGTTTTAAATAAATGGTCCTGACAGTGTAGAAATTTTTCCATCATACCTAGGCCTAAACTTTTCATCATTTTTTCATTTACTTGTTAGTAAATATTTTACAAAATAATTTTGGTCAAATTTAATTTCAATAATTAACACAGCCATGGTCATTCCTTGGTTTAATTCTATATAATAAAATATTTGGTTAAACTTTAATTTATTTTACATACTTCTCTTTCAATAACTGATAACCAGCTATTTTATGTTTAGCAGCTCTTCTTTCAAAATATCGTCTGATACTATTATAAGTAAATATATGTTGATGTGTTATCGGAAACAGAGATGTTGTCTTTTGACCATTAAATTACATCTTTAGAGATTACTTTGTTTTTATCGCTGTTAAATTCCTCGTTGGTAATTATACAAAATGTTGCATTTAGTGGAATGCTAAGGACTTTTTAAAAAGCTAGATCTAGCAGGAATATTTATAGAGTTAATTATATATTCTTTTACTTATGTATACTTGTAAAATATATGGCGGACCTGTACACGGCGCACCCTAAACTCGGTGAGGTTCGTAAACGAACTATACTTTAAATTAGACTTGTGGAGCCGATCCGGAGCCAGGGAGTTGCTGTTTTTTGTTGGAGCCAGAGCCGGAGCCGCAAAAATTGAGCACTTTTTTTTTACTGTAGACAAACTTTGTCTGCAGTAAAACATTACAGTATTGCATAAATTGCTTTATATTATATTTTTATACTGATACTATGATTTTAATTATTTGATGCGCGATTTAATGATCAAAGGTTATTCTTATCTTTTAAGTTATACAAAAACATGAGATCGTTATATTTGGAACGATGAGTTTTGTTTTAAAACTTGTCACTAACACATTACTAAATTTTTTTTTCGCGTAATTACATTAAGTAATTATAGTATTAATTAAAAACATTAACAAACAAATCAAAATGTTTCTCTTAATTAAAATCTCATTGAAACATTTAAAAAACGAAAAAAATTCTGCACAACTATAGTTGTGCAGAATCATTTAGCGATTGATATTAACAATGCAGAAAGATTTTGTACAAACTACAAAATCCTTCTGCGTTGTTAATATCAATCGCTAAATGATCTGAATCTAGCAAAACTATTGTTTATATGGTCATAAAACAATACAAGAGCTCTCTATCTATTGAACGAGCAAAAGGATCTGGAAAAAAGAGTGGCTTTAAGGATAAGAAAGCAGCAATTAGTATTCAACGATCATTCACGCAAAATCCGGGCTTATCGAACAGAGAACAACCCAAAAGGTATAAAGTTTCAGATTTTTAAATGATTAAATTTTGGCAAGCAATATGCAGTTGTGGTTTGAGATCTAGAGCTTTTGTCACATCGTCAACTTTAAACTCGGATATTTTCATCAAAGAATACTTGCAAGCTTGACTTTTGCAATTTTATCGAAGTCACGATGTCTCCTGTTGATTCTGGTCTAATCTTGCTTCTTGTCATTATTCTAAGAAGAGTGGTACAGTTCGAGAGAGATCAAATTCATACTAAAAAGCTTGAATCCATCAATCTGCACACAGTTCCATCCCATTGAAAAAATATGGGAGAATTATAGAGTGGACATTAGTAGAAAAAAAAATTGTCAAAGACACTTAGCAAAAGTTGATGTCGTCAATTACCGTAAATGTTTGTTTCTTTATACGAAATAATGAAAAATATTAAAATAAAATTTTTAGGTCCCGTGTCTACTGGGTATCCAGTGGGTAAGGGACTAAGTGAGAAAGTAAGAAAGACGTCTTTTAAACATCTTTTGAATATTTTTGATGGCTTTTGAATGTTTTGGATGTCTTTGGGACGATCAAAAGACGTCTTTTTTAGGTTGCGTGCCCCTGGGTAAAATAAGAACTTAAATATGAACTAAAAACTTTAGTTTTGGGTAAATAATATATAGATAAAAGTCTTTATTTACTTAAAACATTTTTCTTTTCAAATATAATATTCGGCAGTAGAGTAGTGATAGTAATACAATAACCTTGTAATCATGAGAGTCTGTAAAAAATTAACTGCTGTAATTGGTATCGTTTTGGGTTAGCAAATCTGATCAAAAAAAATATTCCAAGACTTTTCTTTATAAAGTTCGGAAGCCGGGAGCCGAACCGGATATTTCTTAGGGTTCAAATAACGAATCGAAAATATGCTTCAAACAAGCTTCTTTACTACAACTGCGTTGAAATATTTGTTTATATTATAATGCAGTTATTCTCCTGCGCAGATAATAAAATTTGTATAAGATTTTGGGGAAACGTTAAATCCAATCCGTCAAAGTGCTGTTTAAACAGTTTTTAAAAATTCTAGACCCGATTACGGCATTTACAATCTGACATAAATGTTTTCAAATTAATATTAAATGCAAATATTATTAATAATATCATGGTTAATAATAAATATTAAATACAAATGTTATTGAATGTTAATAAAAATCTCAGAGTTCTTTTATATTTAAGTACAGGTACAACTCCGTTGGAGATCGCATCGGTCAGTAAAATTTAGATTACACTTTGAAGGATTGGATTTAGCGTTTTCCAAAATTTTGGCGTAAATGTAATTAATTATAAGAGAGAAAACTATTATCTATGGACGAGCATAAAACGAAATAACCAAAAATTAAAAAAACTATGAATCGCAAGTTTTTGATTTTTCTATACATACAAACACCATAATGCATTGCGTGAAATAATAATAAGGGGAAAGATTGATTGTCGTGTTGCCCCATCTGGGTTTTTTTCACTAGACCTAGTTTTTTTTATTGCTGTCTAAGTTTTTGCTTTTTTTTTTTTGAAAAATATTGCCAAATCGAGTTATATTTCATTTTTGGGATTTTTGTCGATAAAATTAAAACTTATATTTGATGTCGGTTTGCGCAATCAACTTTAAGAATATTTAAAGTTTACTATTCGAATTTTATTTTAAAAAATTCGAATTCTAAACTTTACTTGATAAAATTTTAATTGTTGAATGATTTGTTAATCTTTTGATTTTAATTCGTTTTGTTTTTTGATTTTGTTTGTTGTTTAGTTTTTGTTCGATTTGTTTATCTTTGGTTTGAAAATTAAAATTACGTAAGTATGCAATTAAATAAGTTTTTGTTTGTGATTTTTTTTTTCATACTAAATATATTTTAATAAAATTTTCATAAGTTATTTAGTATAAGTAAAAAAATGAGCGACAACGATGGCAGAAAAACTACTGGCGTGGCACCAAACACCCTGCCGCATAAAAAATCAAAGACCTGGTACCAGCAGGCGTTCTGTGAAAAATCGCTAAAGGACAGTGAACTAAATGGTTGGATAAAACTAAACTCTGGTAACCGCTATATTATAATTTGTACCGTCTCCTCTTGTGCAGGCCCTATCAAAGGGTGAGCCACTTGGGCCATATTTGTGTGGGCTTCAAATTTTGTTGGGGCCACACATTTTCAAAACATATTTTTTAAACACCAAAATAAAATCAGAATAATAATTCCAAGTTTCTAATTACTCTAAATAATTTAACATTTAAGTTACAGGGCCGACAACAAGGGGTTTTGAAGTGGGGGGGGGGGAGCACAATCATAAATTTGTCAAAAAAGTCCTTTATATCAAAATTTATTTATTACATAAAAAAAAAGGTGGTGGCATAGGGGGGGGGTGCCTCCCCTTCCTCCTCCCCGGTGTCATCGGCCTCGAGTTAACTCAAGTTAATAAATTAATTTCTTTTTCATAACTACAAATTTCTAAATCTAAATCCGATATGATAAAGATTACGCTATGTGATGATGCAATTAGCCCTCCGTCGGGCGCGCTTGTCAAATTGATACAAGTCAATTATTTTTATCTCGTACGAGTTTTTGAGTTATGACTTAGTGTCCTGTTTTTTAGTAGCTTCATTTTTCTCTTCTTTTTTAGTTGTACTTCATCAAACGAGATTAAATCAATTTGTTTTGAACTGTTTGCGCCTTTGTACGTTACGTTTTGTACATTTTGTAACTTTAAGAATAGTAATATTTTTTTATTCTGGTAAATAATTTTTAATTTGTTAAACATAATTCAATATATAAATTTGTATAAGTTTGATTGATGTATAAATTTATTATATTTTAAAATTTCAATATTATTTACAGATACCATTAAAATAAGGAGAAAATTTAATAGTGGTGCAAGTAAAAGGCGACGGAGAAAAGAATTGGCCGAAGAAGCATGCACCAACTCGAAGAAAATATATTCGTTTTTAAAAAAATCACTAAATACAGTTCAAATTGAACAAGCAAACCAATCTCAAAATGTGATTGAAAATGGTGACATTAAAAATGAAGTTGTTTTTATTGCAGAAGACCCAATTTCGGAACATCAACCCGCAGCAAATTTAAATATTGTAAACCAGGAGCGTTTTTAACCCGAAATCTCATTACAGGAAGATGCAAGTGCAAATAAAATTCGAGAAATGGAACTAGAGACAACAGATCAGACTAATCAAGGTAATCCGGGCAATTTTATTGACATTAGGATTTCTTCTTTTATTGATATTATGATCAATTCTTTCAACACGAATTCAGGATGAATTTATTGATATTTGTGGTTCACATGTTCAAACAGCAATCCTCCATGAAATTTTGAAAGCAAAATATTTTTCAATAATAGTTGATGCTACTCCAGATTGCTCGTACAAAAAGCAAACTACTCTAGTTATTCGTTATGTTAAAATTTTAGATAATTTAAACTTTTCAGTGGAAGAAAAATTTATTTTAATTGAAAATTTCAAATTAAATAATTTTTTTTTTTCGATGATGCCGAGCTTTATTTTAAAATCAATGTATATTTTGTTATCATTGACTCGATTCAATCTGGTCTCACGCAACGATTTTATTCGTTACAAAAAATTTGTAAACTCTTTGGATTACCATGGCAGTTTAAAAACTTGAATGACGAAGATCTTGTATTGGCTGCTCAACATTTTCAGCATAAATATGACAAAGAAATCTCACAAGAACATGAAAATGAGGTTTTATTTCCTAAAAGAATTTATGGTGTTAATTTTAAACAAGACTGCACACCAAAAAAGTTGCTGGAGGAAATTCTTGGACTTTTAGGTGTCCTTCCAAACATTACATTTGTATTACGGATTTTTATCAGCTTGCCTGCATCGGCGGCTTCGGGCGAACGCACATTTAATGTTTTAAAGCAGATAAAAAATTGTCATCGTTCAACTATGGGGCAAGGACGGTTGAATGGACTTGCTATGCTGAATATAAATTGCGATATTGCACAAAAACTGGATTTTTCAAATATAATTGCTGTATTTTCAAAACAAAAAGCAAGAAAGGCGTTTGTGAAAATTAAATAAAACTAGTTCATTCTGTTTTAATTACATTGAGTGAATTTCATTAAATTTCATTTTCAAAATGTGACCTTAATTTAACTATTCATTTATAGTGATTTGCAAATAATCATCTATTGAAAAAGACCAATATATAAAAATCAATAATTAATTATTTATATATGAATCATACATTTGTGAAATCTGAATTGTAACATTCATAATAAAGTAAAAGTGTAACACTCCACTCGTACGGTCGTACTTTTCCAATTCCCAGACCTCTCTAAGAAATGTGTTGTTAGACTAGCGCATTTATTGATAAAGCGTACAAAAAGCGCCACATCTGTGAGTGACGGTCTGTTTAATTAATTGCATTTATTCTGAAATTTACAGATTTATCTGGTCCTGAAGACTTTGCATTAACTTGCGTCGCGTTTTGCGCAAATCTTCCTTTTGGGGCCTCTGATTTATAAATGGCCCGGGCCTCTTCTCTAAAAGGGCCTGCTCTTTTACATTAACTAATATTAACAAAGCTTCTTTATTAACACGTAAAGCTACACAGAAGTACTCAATGCCAAAAGCAAAACTTTGAACATCAAGTTTTTCATCAAATGAAATATTTGAACATCAAATGAATTCAGCCTTCCAGAAAAAGTTGCTAAAGGAGAGATGTTGTTGATTGCTTTTATGGCAGAACATAATACACCGTTTATACAAGCTGACAATTTAATTGAATGCTGTGAACAGATGTTCCCAGACAGCGCAATTGTTAAAGTAATGACACTGAAGCGTACCAAGGCCGCTTATGTTATGCAGTATGGTATTGCTTATTTTGAGCGAGTTGAAGTTATAAAGATCTGTAGAAATGCTGCAACCGCCTGCCATCGTGGCTTGAAGTTTTTGTAAAGAATGTCTGCTTCTATTCACGTAGTAGTAAAAGCAAGCATGAGTTTTAGTTGATAAAAGATGTTGTTTAATTCTAGCAACATAAAGTTTTGCAACAATAGAGTTTTATTAAACAAGAAGTATTGCAGCATCATACTCTTACAAACACTGATTAATCAGACGTAACCAGCCACAAGAAACTTGGTACCATTGACTTGGGTAAACGATATGAAGCCCGGTTAATCCGCCAACCATTAGGAGAAAAAGAAGTTCAGTTTCGTAAGGGTGTATTGTCATTCCTGATTGAACTTTGCGTTTTAATAAAAATGCAGATTTCCATTGAAACAAAACAGTGTTCTGACAGAGATACCCCTGTTGGATCCAAAGCAGACTCTTCTGAGCAATAAACCTTCCACGTATTTGATGCAGTCTTTTAGCATTACTGCCCTCCTCAGCATGCGTGGAAAAAATATTTTTGAACTTAGTTAAAACTAAACAAACTAAAAAAAACTTCTTTGCGAAACAGTTGCAAATCGAATACCAACTAAGCCAAGCAGTTAATAATAATGGAGCTTATGATCAATTCAAACCTGACGAACCGTGATCGAAGTGTATGCAATGGACGTTGCTGGCAGGGATACACAAAGGTTTTAAAACTATAAAAGCAGCTGTCAAGGTTGTCAATTTCTTCTAATGATCTTAACAAAGCAGAAGTTAAAGTTGTCGATATGGAGGCGGAGTCGCTTATAAATGACAATTATATTATATATAAATTATAATACAATTTAACTTCTGAGTTATAACTTCTGAATTATAATATATATTAATTATAATACAATTTAACTTCTGAGTATAACAATTAATTCAAATGGTAAACAACTGTAAGAAAGTTTCTTTAGTTGTTTAGTAAGTTAACTAAGTTGTAAAGTTGTAGCTAATTTAATTAATTTAGACTTATAGTTAGGTATACTTTTAGTATATATTTTTTTCCTTAGGTTACTGTTAACAGTGCCGCCTTTACCCACGGTTGTCACAGGCAAATGCCTGTGAAAAAAAGAATTTTTTTCACAATAACTTAATACTGTTTACATAATCTGGGTATTTTAGGGACTTTTGGGATGGGAAATCTGGGGTTTTCTCAAAAACCTGATTGACATATCAAAAAATCAATCGTGAAAAACAGGGGAAAAGCAAGAAAAAAAAACAGTGTTTTGTAAATCTGAACGAAGAAACTTGTTTTTGGTTAAAAGAAATTAGTCAAAATATAATCACGGTTTAGTTTAAAGAAAAAGACTAATTTGAAAAGATAATCATGAGGATGGACGTCAATGTTTTTTTTGTAAAAAGAGATAATGACAATACCAAATAACAGAGGTGGAAAGTAACGAATTACATTAATTCTGGTTACTGTAATTGAGTAGTTATTTTGAGAATTTTTACTTTTTAAGTATTTTTTTAAATGTGTACTTTACTTAAGTATTTTTTTTCTAAAGTATTGTAATTCGCTACATTTGAAATCATATGCATTACTGAGTAAAAAAAATTATTATGTAATGTTTAATTTCACAAATAATATAATTAGAGATGCAAAAAAACGTGTTTTTTTGCTATAGTGTTTTTTTTCACCCTAAAAAACGTGTTTTTTTGGGGGGTTTTTTGTTGTTGTTTTTTTGTTGTTTTTTGCGTTTTTTTGGCTTTTACAGATACTTTTAGTGTTTTTGTTAACTAACATTTAATTTTTTCAAAATGTTTCCAACTTATCTAAAATGTTTCTCTTTAGTTTTGTTTGAGTATTTTAGATTTTATATTAGGTTGTATTAAAATTAATCTATTTTCATTAAAGCGTGAACAGAATTCACAAAAAAGTTAAATTAATGATTTTTTTTATTGCTAAAATAGTTAACAAACTATTTGTTCTTTTCAAAATTTGAATTAAAAAATTAACAAGAAACAATTTTATTTTAAGTTTTTTTTTTTAATCTAAAACTCATCTACAGAAGAATTTTGACTAGAAAACTCTGGTTCTTGGTCAAGTGACTCAAATTCTTGTTCAGTTAACTCTTTATCTGAAACATTTATTGGTTCGTGAGATTTATCTGAAATATTTATTGGTCCTTTAGGCAGAATTGATTGTTGTGTTGCACACATATCCATTGCTTCAAGCTTCAAATTTTTCAATACAAACACTAATTTTGCTGCTCTTTCATTTGTTAATGTGAATATTTGCATAACTGCTAAAACTTCTTTCGCAAGCAGCACTTATAGCAGGAAGCTGAAGAATTTTTGCTGCTACTTTTGATAATTCAGTAGATGAACATAATCCCTTCCACCAGTTTGGACCAAACATTAGGTCAATAGCTGTCCATATAAAAGTTTTTGAAAAAACTCCTCCTTTACATTGTTAATTTGCTAAATCAGCCATCCAAACATCTATTTTGGTATTAGGTGAGTTTGAAGCAATCGAACATATTACTTCACATGCATCAATCTGTTAAAAAATTGAGATATTGCATAATGGTTTTACTTAGTTTAATAAAAATAAACAAAAGTTGCTCATAATTTAACCTTTTGGTCCCCATTTAAATATCTTCCTTGATATTTGGGGTCAAGTAGGTTAGCAGCCATATGAATTTTTGTTAACCAAATTTTTTTTTTTAAGCAAATAGTTCTTCTATTTTTACTTCCTTTTTTTTTGTTAAAGGACTGCTTACTATGTTTCGATTAATATTATTTTCTGAATTATAAAAGATTTCAACTATAGACGACAACATTGGGCTGTCGGTCTCTGTTATCTTGATTGCATCAGCTATTGGTGATAGCAGCTTTAAAAATCCTTGAACCTTATCCCAAAAAATATAACAAGCTATTTTTTGTTGTAGAATTTAATACACACCGCTCAGAGATGGTCAAAGATTTTAAAGACTGTTTATTTTTCTGTATACTCTCAAGACACGCCACAGTGGAACCCCATCTATTAATAAATAAATTTTAATCCCATCTATTAATAGATAAATTTTAGTCACATATCTAAATTCGAAGTAAAATAGATTACTATATAAAACTATGTTTTAATTAATTGTATAATAATAACAATTACCTGGTCTTTACCGGTAGTTTTAATGAAATGTTTGAATCAACTGTTGATTTTTGAATTTCTTTAAATATTACACCTATTATGTGAGAGTTTTTGATTTCCTTTACAATATCTGTTGCTTGTGGCATTAACACACAAAGAGTAGGTATTTTTATGAAATCATTCAAAAGAAAATTGAGACTATGAGATATACATCCATAGCAATTAAAAAGAGGATAGCTGTTATTAATAGTTTACATGCCTTTTTCATGTTTGCTGCATTGTCTGTTACTATTCCCATATTTTTTTAGAATTAATTTCTTCTAATACCCTACGTATTTCATCTGCTATGTATTCACCAGAATGGCTTGATGAACCTGAAAATTATTACTTTCATGTAAATACTTTACAAAATGTTCAGTTATAAAATTATAAAAAAGTTTTGAACGTGAAGAACTAAGTTAAGAGTTGGGAGAGAGTTAAAAACAATTAAAAAAAAATGTATTTATTATTTACTTTTAAAAATTTATGTAAACTTTACCTGAAGGTAGTGATTTCCATAAAATAGGCAATGATGAAGACAATGTCAACACAAAGTTGGTAACTGCTTCATTTCTGCAAAACATCAATAGTTTTCAAGTTTTAATTTTTAAATTATTTGCATAAATAATACATTAGTTTTTTTCTTTAAATTTATTAAACTAATACTCACCTAATACTACTCCATCCATCACACATAAGTCCTACAGAGTCTGCTACTGCAATTAATTCTTTAATATTGCTTGATATTATATTGAATTCTTTATCCAAAAGTGTCTTTGATACTTCATACCTTGATGGGAGCTAATAAGCTGGGCGTAAGCTATTTAAAAAAGTTTTCCAGTATTTATTATCAACTAAACTCATGGGGGACCCACTTGCGTAAGCTCTAGATAGATGTGTATCAATTGATTCCTATGACATTATTAAACTTAGATAAACAATTAAAAAAAACATACTATGCAAAAAAAAAAAAAAGGTTATATTTTTTCACATTGTTTTATGCTATTAAACATTGAACAGGATTTACCACTTTTATAAATTGGTTCTGAATGT